AATAATAATAATAATAATAATAATAATAATAATAGTGTTAATGCCAATAATAATAACAGTAATAGTATTAATAACAGTAATTTTAATATTAAAGTTGGTGGAAAGAATGGAAAAAGATATCACAATGGTGAGCCGTAAATTATACAGAATTACCGGAAAACAATAACAACAAATAATGGTTGGCGAGAAGAAAGAAAATAAATAAACATGGATATACAACAGTAACACAGTTTTTTGATCTCATTCCCGTCAGTTCTGAAGAGGAGTTTTTCCTTTTCGGTGGGGGGAGAGGAGAGATGAGAAGGCAAAAAAAGGAAGCAAAAAGAGCAAAAAGATACAGCAATGGTTTTTTTGTTACTGAATTATTACCATCAATTGGTATGACATAATTATGTGCAGACAATAGTGATATTTAATTCCTAAAAATATGATAACACAAAGAAATTTTCTATTCTAAAATTTTACAAAAATATTTAAATTAGCTGAACAAAAATACAAAATCAACGTAACTCTGTGAGGTTTAGCAGTAACGAAACAAACGTTAAAAACAGAACTTGAACCAAATATGACAGATAAGTTATAAGAAGAACTAAGACTGGCTTTAAAATTGTAACTTTTTGTTTGATCTAAGATCATTAATAAGATTTTTTATTTAGTTAGTTTTTTTTTACAGTAATCTATTAACTTATTTTTTCTTTGATTTTATTTTTCACTTCTTCCTTTTCACAAAATTTGAAACCATTTATAGCTGCTCTATGATAGATCAATCAATTACCGTTGCTTCTTGTTGTTTTCGTTTTCGGCTTTTTTTATTTTTTTTCATTACAAATAATAAACAGAAATAAATTAAAAAAATATTTTAATAAAAAGCTGTACAAAATTGTTCTAAAGCTTGATCAAAGCTTAATTGAAAGAAAGCCCATATTCGAAGGAAAAAAAAAAAGGGAACATATATTTAAATAAATAAATAAAAAATTTAAAAAACTGGACAAAACAGTAACATTTTAAAAAGGCGTAAAAAGTTTGAAAGAAAGAAAAAAAAAAAGGTAGATGGATAAAAAAATTTTGGAAATGTCTTGAAAGGAAAAAAGTCTATGTTTCAAATTTTATGTGTCAATCATTA